TGTGGTTGGTTCCATGGGGGGGGGGGTGGAATAGTGGACTTAGAGGAGGATCTTCGGGTAACACAAGGAAAAATTGGTTTATATAGGAGTCTCCCCTCACCCCTCCCCGAGGAATAAAAAAGTAGATTTCGTCCCCACAGTTTGATGTTAAAGTAGTGTCCGGTGTAATCGTAATACCCACGTGAGTTTCCCGGCCAACATTGATATATTTATATTTATATATTATTATATTTTATTACATAATATAATGTAATAACGGAGACTTTAACCTAATAATAGCCTAATCCTATTATTGAATCATTAATTGATGCAGACTTTCGTCTTCAGATCCCGGTTATAACGTGTTAGAGAAGTCACACGTACCAGTGTTTTTGCTCTAACGTAACACCCTGTACATCAATATACCCGTGGACGAAGACTATTTCACCGGTACATTGGTATATTATTTGCATAATATAAGAAACGTTTCGAGAACGCCCGGGTGTATTTTACTTCAGAGAGCCACGGTCTAAAACCGGTGCCCGGAACTCAAACTGTGAAGAGGGACTAGATTTCAATGTCTGTCTCTTAGTCGTGAAAACTTTGTCCCGAGTTTGTCTTCCCCTAATACCTACGACGTTTACTAGACAAACCATAAACCTCGGTTTGTGAAGTCTTTTCTGTACAACATAGACTTCTGGGATATTGTATAACTACTTTTTGTGAATACTTATCCCCTTGGAAAAAATTTGGACCTAGTAGATTCTCACTGAAAACAAAGCGTCCAATTCGGGCCACTTCATGTGTGTTTCGGTAGAGGTGGAAGTAGTCTAGTTGCGGAAGCTCCTCCTTTCCCAAGGACTACTAGCTGGAACACGACCGCGCTGCCACCTCGGTAGTTGTTGATAGAGTAGGATACACAATCACATCTCAAGTAAATACCAAACATACAAGATAAAATAATAACAATAACGGAAATAAAACATAACAATAAAAAGAAGACGACGAGAGTGTACACTCTAAGAACACGGTGAAGGTCCTTGAACTTTTGGCTACCGGAAACGAGGAAATGTGATGATTACAAAAGTTGGCTATTTTTATGTTTTGTACTAGACACTAGTAGTACTAATTAGGTTGAATACACTGTTCAAACCCCCTATTTTGTTTTGTGGTACACAAACAAAATTAATTCTTTACGTACTGTTTGATCATTCTAAAAAAAAATGAATAACGTACAAGGACTATAAACCGTACTTCACGGTTAAAAGAACTGTGAAAATATTTTTACGGCGACCTACTGGGAGAAGTATTCACGCGGGATAATACAGGAGGAGTCACTACTTGGAAGAGGTGATGTAGGGTGAAGTTGACGTTGAGTTTCTTGAACAACACTACGAGAGGTTTTACGGGAGGACCTGAAGCTGATCGTGGTCTTCGGCTAAGCTCACCGTCTTGTAAACAGTTTGGCGCTCGATCACTAAGAGGACTGCAGGTCACCAACGAGGTCAGCACGTTACTACGAGGAACAAGGTCATACCCTCGTTGAACCCAAGGGTTGAAATAAAGAACTTGCGCCTATTTCAAAGGCTACTAGCGTTCGGCAAATTGCACTTTCGTTTTGTTTAAGGTAAGGTAAAACACGTCAATTGGTTTTCTTGCTGGGTGTGACTCTTCAGTGGCACACAACAAAAATGGAGGGAATTTAAGGTTTGCGTATTTGTCAGTAGGACACACCACAGGTAACATCCGTGTTTGTGTATCGTCCCGGAAATGGTTACACAAGCTAAAACATCGTGATGACATCATAAAGTGGACAAAATCTGATCAGCTCATTTTCAGACAGGTTTTTATAGAAATGGATACAAAAAGAGAGAGAATCTTTGTTCCTGAAACTTTCAGAGTCTCTTTCCACAGAGGGGACACATGTTGATGTAGAAGAGACATGAAGAAGTGGATTTTGCACAATAGGTGACCTTTGAAGAAGTGAGGGGATTTCCCTGCATCTATAAATCACAACTCACCTCGCCTGTACGCTTGTCCACGAGATGGAAGACAGTTTCCTGTTTGGGATCCCAGTAGATGCCGTCGCTCAAAGCCTTCCCCCTCAGTTTAGCTGTGACTATCTTCATCAGGTCCATCTTTATTGGCTGCTCGATGAACACCACGTAGTTCTCTGACATGGCTGGAGGCAGGAGAAGGGTGTCATTGGCAGCTTAAATCGAAATAAAAACACCACAGATGAATAGTATATCCAGGAGTGCTGTCTCACCAAAGCTGTGGTAGTAGGAGGGATGGGACTTGTTGGCAGGCACAATGGAGCAGAGGACTTTGGCTCCTTGGAGAGTGTCTTTGGAGTCTGACTTCTCAGGAGGAACTCTGATGATGTTGTACAATGCTCCTGATAAATAGAATAAACAGGATAATCAGGGGTGGAAAGTGACAAAGTACATTTACTCAAGTAATCTACTTAAGTACACTTTTAAGGTATTTACCTGAGTATTTCCATTCAACTTCGTCCCCTAATTTGTTTGTTGTTTCGTCTGTCTGACTGTTTTTTGTTTTGTTTGTTTTACTCCTGTTTTTTCTGTAAAGGCGCTATATCCATTTAAGTTATTATTACTTTATACTTCTACTTCATTTCAATTTGTAAGCAAATAGTTGACATCTTGTTTCCATGTATTTACTTTGCGGGTTATAGTTATCAATATGAGAAATGTCTCCGTGTATTGATATAAATCAGCGCTGCTTGTAACAACAAACCATATGTAAGCATCTGTGCAATAATCAAAGCATTATTATTCAATAGTAAGCTCATTTTGACGAAAGCATGCATTTTCACTGAATCCTTACTATTCAAAACACTTTTGCATAACACCAAACATTCATTTTATCTAAATATAACTTTGCTGTTCTTAAACTCAACCCCCAGTTACTTCAATTCAACCAGAATTCTCTCGTTTTGTTCACATTGGAGTTTAGGAAAAGTGATATATATACAAACATTTTGTGGGTCTTTTATTTCTTTAATTTGAGTCAACTGGACCTACCTTTGCTTCCATAGGAGTTGCCCATATTGTAGGCGGTACCGTCAGGGTCATAGTGGGGGTGAGCAGTGGCTCCATTCACAGCAATGAACTTGCTCCAGTCTACCTACAAAACATAACAGAGCAAAATGGCAAGATGAGGATTAGGGCTGATATAACTGGACTATAAAGACAGATTATGTATATTTATATATACAGTATAAATGTAAAATAATGACACTGTTATCGTTTTCTATATATGGCTCCATGTTATTACCTTGTCCAATGTTTCTAAGTTTTCCGGGTTCACTCTATGCATGAAGTTTGTCTCCGTGCTGACATAGTAGTCACCTTTGTATTTCACAAAGCTCACACTTGCATTGTCCGTGGAGTCTGTAACAGAGAGAAACACACAGTATTGGCCTTTTCAAGGAACAAGAGTCTTCCTTCCTCAGCAGGATTCTTTTCAGCTGCAGTTCAGCAGGAATGTGAAATGTTCAGTGTGGGTTAAACCCTCTAATGTTCCCGTCTGCAACAGATGTTGTTATGTAATCCTCGTGTAAGCAGAACACTAGAGCTCCTCCCCTGGCCCCATACTTTCAGCCAAACTTCTTCCACTAGATTTACATTTTCCCTCTGTCTCTTGAGCTTCTTCTGAGACCACCAAGCTGCAGAAAGTGAAGCCCCACTCTCAGACAATCAACCCAACAAAACCAACTACAGTCAATCTTCATGAGCCCTCGCCTTTTGTCACAAGTTTTCCATTTTCTCCGTCTCTTCTTATTCAGTGTACTCACCCATCATCTCAAAGCGGGACAGGAAGCGCTGGAAGATGTTTTTACAGGGGTCCGGCAAAGCGAGGGTACCAAATTCTGACATCATGATGCGGTCCCTTTCACTATTCTTCCTGTAGGCCTCGCTGTTCAGGAAGCGACTCATGTAGGTCACCTGGCCTTCTGCGATGGTGAACTTATGCAGCATCGCCATCCCATCAAACCAGTGATTGTAGCTGTGAAGAAATGAACGCTTTAGTCAAACACGTTTAAAACACGTTATTTGTTTGTGTTGTGGTGCAGGTGACTCACTGTGTGTTTCCAAACTCAAACTTCCCCGGGCCGTTTCGGAGGAGGTTTCCTTTGACCCATGAAGGAATGGATCCTTGTACCTCAGTGCAGATGGGCTCTGGGGTTTCTTCTACAGAGCGCACCAAAGGCTCAATGGTCTCCAGCCCCTTCATCACGGTGGTGATGCATTTCTCGGCCTTGCCATTGTCAACAGGTTTGGCATCACCTGTCGGAAACACATAAACACTCAATTACCCTTATGGTTCTTACCTTGACTACAAGAACAATCGACAACGAAACTGATCTACAAACTCGATCATTTAGAGCAAAAGTGACTGCTAGAGTTCAGTTTGTGAGTGGGAGGAATAACTGGGTCAGAGTGACTTTGTTTTCTTTGGCTTCACTGCAGTGTTGGCAAACATCCTAAACAATTAGGAACGCTCCATATGTCAGATCCAGTGTCAGATCCAGTTGTTGAGCTCTCAGTCACGCAGTATAGGTCTAAGGAGTGGCCGTGAAACTAAAACAGAATAAATGCTTTATTGTTTTTTTATTATTCTTATATTCCTAATCCTATACATGTACAATATAGTAGCAAATGAAACAAAGAAAACACATGAAAAGAAAACTTTAAGAAAATGAGCAAAACAAGGCAAGTGTATTTAGCACGTCAACACTGGGTCATTCAAAGTGCTTTACAAAAAAACAAAAAAGTAAGAACAGTAATATACAGTGCAGCGGAATCACAATATAAAATGACATTTAAAAACCATCAAGGAGACTAAAATAAAAATAAAACAAGCTAAAAATAGGATAATACAGATATAAAACAAAGGAATCGTGCAGTGCAGTGTAAGATATGAAAAGTTATTGGGTAATGGTTGACATATTACCAGACACATTTTCAAAACTTCAGCAGAAATACAATAAAGTCAACCCAATGCACTCAACTCAAGAATGGCGGTGTACAAATAAAAGCCAACCTGTCATTGACCCCCATGAAGAGAAGAGTTATTGTGTATAATAATAACCTCCTATAGAGGAAGTAACGCAGGCAGTCTGATGTTTACCTGGTTGACATTTCCTGTATTCATTGCGTATGTACAAAATTGCATTTCCTTACGAGCAGTGTGGATCCAAATTAAACTCCTCTCGTATCATGTTTCATTTCTACAGACAGAGTATTTTGAAGAACACTTTGTACAGCCTGAGCGCCCATCATCCTGCTTTAGATCACAGAGTGATAACGAGGCAGAAACAGCACATGATGTTTTATTATGCATACGCAGAACATAGAAATAAGGTTAGGGGGATAACGGTATAATGTGGGGCGTAACATGCATCAGCGCTGAATCCATCCAAATGTGAATACGCAGTTTTCTCTGTATAGTAAACGGGTATTAAATGGAGCAGGCTTACCTGAACTCTCGATATTCACAGGAGGCATATCCTCGTTTATTGTGGATGGTTACAACTGCTGCTTTGTGACCGCGTCCTGCTGCACCCACATGAATATACTGTACAGTAAGTGCATGCAGCAACACTATTACGTAACACCAGATGAGGGGAGGCTGCTTCGAGCATGCGCAACCCAATTTCACGTGGAATTCGATTTTAGAGTGGCACGCTGGGATGGTTTATTATGTATTAGGAAAGAGCACAACAGACGATATATTTTAAGCATGCAAGAGAGGTGTGCATGTGTTGAGTGTCCCCTTACGAAAATGAACTATGGTATTACTATAGTATACTATAAGGGTTGTATAGTATCCTATAGTAAGTTTGTAGTAGTATTTTTCACCAGCTATCGTATAGAGAACCGCAGTGACGCGTCGTAAAACCCAGAAGTAAGTTTAGCATTTTTTAGCACTTCCGGTTCCTTCCTCAAAAGCAATGCAATTTTTTCCAAGGGTTTTGGGAAAATAGCTCGAAATAAGGTCTGTGGTTGACACACATTTAAGGATAATTCCACGTTTTGTGTTCCTACGACATAAATACATCAGCAGTGACCCCACTGGGATTTTGAAGATTACGTGTCCTGAAAAACGATGGTTGTTACCGAGTGGCTGAATAGGACTAAAGAAATTTGTCGAGGCCCGTTGTACCTCATTACGCCGAACACGTAAAACACTCCGCTAAGTTTGTTTTCCCCTGTGTTCTGCTTGAAAGCAGTACCTGCCTTCTTTAGTATCTGTATATCTATATCTGACCATTAGAATCTGTATTTTTGAATTGCCGTTTTTAACACCGTAGTTTTACAAATTATAGACTAATTCATTACCAGTGGTTTTCCAAATTTTACTCGCGTTCGTTTCGTTACGCAAGCGAAGCGCGTACTAGTTACTACGCATGGTTTGCTTTGCTCCGTGTGCAGCCACAGGATAAGATAATATATTACACACTTAGGATGACCACCCGCGCTGCTGGCCGACTGCCGTTTCCACATGGCGCCATCTTGCTAAAGGCAGTTAATCTCATTCAAACATTCTATTAAATAACCATAGCTTGCTCAATTTTCACCAACGGTTTTGGTTTTTTATAAACATCATAGATGTAGTTATGATACTGCTACTTATATCATGGATTTCTTATGAAAATAACATTAAGCAGATAAAGCAATAGCTATACACACACACACACACACACCACACACACACACACACACACACACACACACACCACACACACACACACACACAGGTATTTATATTCAAATATTTGCTGGTGTATTATTCCATTTATTTTATTATATTGTAATATTAAATAAATATAAAATAAAAATATATTTATATTTATATATAAAAATCGGTCTCATGTTACCACTCGCTGTAAGCCAAGAGTTGTTCATTTAGCATGCCTTAGCTTGAAAACAGGGACCACAACTAATGACAAGAGCATATGGTGGTAATATTATTAGATATTCCACCTTTATCAGAGGAAGAACCAAACCAACATAAAATGAGCTCACAGACAGGCCAGTTTCTGTCTCATTTATTCACAATTATTTTTGACATCAGATCTTCCATAACGTCCTAGTTTTTGTATTTAGTTTTCTAGATTGTAAATAAAATTCCAGAACACTTGAAATAACGTTACCCACTTCACAGCACGGTGCGCGAGTTCTTGAAGTCGGAAAAAAGCCCAAGAATAATATAAACTGTACCCTGTGCCTTGTGTCCTTCTGTAATGTCCATTTACTGTTGTTTGCTTGTCTTACCCGGCTGTATCCTCACTAAATCCACTGGTTTTAATTGTCCCCTATATTGCCCCTATTTGCCTGTAAGGTGTCTTGGGTGTTATCAAAGGTGTTGCACATGTTTTATTCCAGTGTATGAGTGACATAGAGCAGTGAGATGGACAGTGGTTCCAAACCTTTTTACCACCTCAAATTATATTGGGCTCTCCTAGTAACACCATCATAGACCTCCTGTGTACCAACGAGGTAAAGGATTTAATATACAAGCCATTGATGCTCTCATCTTGTTATTGACATTCCACATCAAATAAGATAAGATGGTACCTTTATTGATCCCCAATTTGAGAAAACATTTTAGTTAGTACAGAGCATAAGGGACAAGGCATTTGTAATTTCAATACATTAGAAAATAAGAAAGAAAAGGAAAGAAAATAAAGAAAGAGGGAAAAAATACACTGTTGGATTCGGCAGTATATTATATATAGATATCTATACATATTATGATATCTATAATATAATATACCATTAAATTAGGCATATGGAGATATTAATGTTAAATATTTAAATATTGAACAGATGTAATATGTGTAAAAATGTACAACGTGGGGTATATTCAAGGAAACTATGGAGCCAAAGAGTTATCTTCCAGCCAGAGGGTGATGTGTTGTACAGAGTTATGGCACTGCGGGCTGCAGCAGCCGGTTGGAGAAGGAGCTCCGTGTGACTGTCCAGCTGCCAGTGGAGAGGGTGGGTTATCCATGATGGGACAACCAGCTGTTTCAGTGGTCCACCGAGCAGAATCAAAGGGGTCCACCTGGATGCCGATGACAGACCCAGCTTTTCCTGATCAGTTTATTGACCTGCTGGTATCACGGCTCTGATGCTGCCCCCCCAGCAAGATCCGCCGGCAAAGAAGAGTGCACTAGCCACAACAGACTAGAGATCTCCAGCCATCTTGCTGGCACACGTGGAAGATCTCAGCTTCCTCCAGAAAAATAGAGTCTTGCTCATCCCCTCCTGTGCCCACAGCGTCCAACTGTTGATCCTCCAGCTTCAGCCATTTTCTACGTGCACTCCCAGGTATTTCTAGTTCCTCCACAACAGCCCAAATCCTCTCCAGAATGCACAGGGGTAGAGGAGACGGTCCTCACCCTTCTCGAAATCAATGGAATCTTCTCTGGTTTTGGCCAACATTCCGAATACTCCACAACATTAGGGCCTGAGGGTTCATCTTCTGCTCTTCTTGAAGGTGGTTGTGCTTCTTGTTTGCCTTTCCGGGCTTAAAATAAACAAATTAAAAACATTTAAGTGTTTAATATGTGCTGTATATACACAACACAATTATTTTCCTAACTTGCAGAAAGAAAAACAAAGGGAGGACAATTAATAACAATTTATAATCAATCCTATACAGCTTTGAATTCTTTTTGCCAATGATACATAACCGCTTTGAAGATAAGCCTTGGGAATTGAAAACTGTTGGTACAACACAATCTTTTTAAGCCGGACAGTCTGCCCGTCCTGTCAAAGTCTCACAACGGAAAGTGATCACTGCAGAGCAGGCCTGCACACAGGAATCAAATCGTCCTTTCTTAGACAACTTCCCACATCCCTCCCTCCCTCTCCGGTTTGGGAAACCTTAAAAACATGAGGAAGGTAACCAGATATATATATATGTCAACATTGTTCTCCCTTCTTTCTTTAACCATAGGGTAAGGACAAAAAATACACACCCGAAATATAATAATTTTTGGGGTAATTTGTATGTATGTATGTATACTTTAAGAATAAACCACCAATCTAAGAGTGAAAAAAAGGTGTCCAAAAGAAACACTAAGTAATTGTGGTAAAAAATGGTAGCACCTATTCTTAAACAGCGGGTCCACATCAACGTGTGGCCCATACTATTATCTCATAAGCCACACTGATCCTGTCATTGCGCATTTGTTAGGCGTTATAAAGTGTTGAAGCGCATCAAATGTCGAAACTGTGTCAACCTGTACCTGTCCAGAATAGAGAGGAGGCAGTGGAATTGATCGCGTGATTTTGGACCGCGGAACCAATGAGTGATCATTCAGGAAATGAAGCAGTTGCTGGTTCAGACGTTCCAACATGTCCACAGATTTGAAGCATTGCCTCTTGCGTCACGTGTAACGTGATTTGAAGCAAGCATTCAAATCCTGCTTCATGGAATTGGGAGTCCAGAGGTTGAAGCTCCCGTTACGAAGCCTCAGGCAAACTGCCAATCACTTGAACTTCCCCATCCCCTTGGCCCCTTCCTTGGTCCGATCCGTCCGTCTTTTCCATGCCTCCCTTGCAACTCTGTTGGTTCCCCTGTCAGTTTTGTCTAGATGCCTACCAGTTTTTTGGGGTTTATTCTGTTTTTCAAGGCACAGCTTTTGTTAAAGGACAATCATGCTATATTTGAATATATATTGTAGGGCCATACTATTAAGAACATGTCTGTGAAGTTTTTTTTCAATACCNGGGGGGGGGGCAGGAGCTCCAACAAGCCGTTTAGGACAGAGAGTGAACACACATACTATACAGAGATGCTGTATGAGAAACCAATATACAATAAATAATATAACAATATAAATCTATTCTAGTAGACCTCTACAATGGAATTATGATCAGTAGAAATGGCCATGACATGGGAACTTTAAGTTTCATGACAAAAAGCCCAATGGTTTTTCCGTAATCCTGGGAAGGGTCAAACATCTCACCAAAAAGTGTCTTTCCTGCCCTGAGTACGATTCAATTAATAGTTGAACATGTTTGTATATGTATTAAGCTTAAGATAGCCGTTTCTTAGCTTATTTTAGCATAAAGCACGTTGAAATGCTAGGCTAGCTCAGTCCAACCGTAACTGAATCTGCCCACCAGCATTTCTCTTCAGCTTGCTGATCAACTCAAATTCAAAGGTTTTATCGTCATATGCACATAAGCTACAGTGTAGACATGGCAATGACATTCTTCTGACCCTTGATGCAATGGGAATGATGATTTATGTACAGTCCTTTGAGAAATGTAATTATCTCCCGTCTTCTCTTCTCCAACTTGGTTTCAATTGAAGATGATGGAAAATGCTTTGGACACCTTGAAGACAGCTTTTCCTCACCCTGAGCCTCTCAGCCCAACGGAGGACCTTGAGGGAGATTCTGATGGGAAAACAATGGAGAGTAGAAAGTACAGGTGAGCGGTGTATAAAGGCTTTTGGAGAACCTAACACAGGGATGTGTCAAGAGAAATAGCAAATATTGTTGAAAAATATTTAAAAAATGTATTTCCATTTTTGTGTTTCTCACACAGCAGGAGGCATATGTTCCCAAGCAAAATTTCACCAGTTCTCAATATACCTGACCTGCACCCTAAAGTGTCGTACTGCTTTAGTGAAGGCAGCGCTGTAAGTCACTCTATTCACCACGTCCACCTGTGATTGATAAATGCGAGTTTAAAACAAAAACAGCTGAATGTTGTTTTGCTTCTCACAGGTCCTCAATGGTATGTCCCTGTCTGGCCTGGAGAACTTTGTCCAAGAGCAGGAGAGACTTTTATGTGGTTTGAATGGCAAAGAGGTAGCCAGACTGAAATGTGAGAAGCCCGGCAAAGACAGAAAGACTTCTTGGAAAACTCATGGCACAGGTTGATATTCAAACAGCAGTATTTGTTTTTATTTGTATTTTTGTATTTAATTATATATGTTGCATTGTGGGAGGAGCTCGGGTCATAAGAGTTTCAATGCCATTTCTACACTGTAGCTTATGTGCATTTGACAATATAACCTTTGAATCTTTGAATCTATGTCCGTAGAGAAACCTCTTATTCATTGCTGTCCTAGAAAAGCAACGTGCAGTAACTTAGCTTGACCACTTGGAAGCAGCAAAACTCCACCGTGTGTTTAGACTTTAGAGAGTTCCTAGAAGTCAGAATATTCCTGAGTCTGTGCAATATGTCATATATGATTGTAGGTGTTCTCGTTGTTGTGTGTTACAGACACGGCTGTGGCAGACGTTGCTTTGAACATTTTGTGTCTGCTGATGAAGGATCAGTGGAGCTGGCTGTGTACTGAAAACATACAGAAGACCATCAGACTGCTGTTCGGCACCTTCATTGAGAGGTACGACTTTCTCTCCGCTTCTGTATACCTCTGAAAGGTGATTTTCCTTTTTGAGTAAAAGTACATTTTACTCAAAAATAAAAATGTGAGGCACTTTAAGATTTCCATTTCATGCTACTCAAAGCAGACCCCGAATGTTAGTGTCAAATGTTGTTTAATTTCCACTACGGTATTATTAACATTATTTTAAAGATTCAGATTCAAGATAATATTAAAAAAATATATAAAAATATTTAAGGTTAAGATAAAACTTTATTGATCTCTTATTGGAATCCACAAGCTGCCCAGCAACATATAAAGTAGTTAAAATAAGTTCTAACTTCATGAGCTACAACATTTGAGTGATGAACACATTATTGCATACATAATTGATTAGAATCTATAAAATATAACATAGATTATTTTCCCTTTTATACAGCTAAACATCCTGATGCTGGGTCCTCTTCTGGTAGACAAAGCACTAAAAGTGGTTTGTTGCACACAACTGTTGCATGAAGTTCTCTCAAATTTCCTTTAAAAATACAACTCTCTGTTTTAAATACAATGTTTATGCTTCACTGGTAATCTAGTATTACCACTGGGATTGTAACTACCACACACTCGGTGGGAACTGTGCTTTTGTAATCTCTAGTGTCCTGCTGTCATTATCTGATTATACTGGCCTCCTTTTTTGGACTTCCCATTACCTCTGGGAGTGTCAGGGTTCACTAAGCATGTCAGTAAATAATGTCCATTCTCCTGCTATGGTTTATAGATTTAAGAATGCATGCTTGTGTTGCTTCCCCCCCTTGAGTGCATATCATTGTTTTCTCCTAATCAATCAAAGCATGTAAAGTTAATTGAATTGCTTGTTTGTCTTAAAGGTCACCTATTATGCAAAATCCACTTTTTCCATGTATTTTATATACAAATGTGTGTCCCCTCTGTGTTAAGAGATTCTGAAAGTTTCAGGAAAAAAAGATTCGCTCACTTTTTGTCCTGATCCATTTATATAAAAACCTGTCTGAAAATGAGCTGATCAGATTTTGGCCACTTTATGATGTCATAACGATGTGTTTTNTGTGCCACGAATTACACATATGATGTTTGTCAATCTTAAAAAATAATTTCCATGTCAAAAAAGTCACAGTTTGTCGTAAAACTGTTGAAATATAAGACTATGAAAAATACGCAACTAGAAAGACTACAAATCCCAGAGTCCCGGTCCCGCATGCTGGCTCTTAGGAACCAACTAACTCCCCTTGTGTGTGTGTACAGCTCTCAACATGCCCAGACTTGGAGTGATTTTCACCTCTTTTAATACTTTTCTCCTCATTCTGAAAGAAAGAAGTGAAATGTGCCAACGTGACGGCCATCTTGGTGTGTGGTGCGAGATGGGAGTTGTAGTTCATTGAGCGGTTTCACACAAACAAAGTGTTACTTCACAGTTTTACCACACATTTTTATTTTTTTGACTTGCAAAATCATATGTGTAATTCGTGACACAATTCAAACGGGATCAAAAGATCATCTTTCTCTCGCCATTGACTTCAATACATACTTTTCAGAAATAAGGTCCCATGGAGCTCCCCCGGAAGGGGAGGGACTTCGTCTCTCTATACCTTTATTAGTCCCACAGAAGGGGAAATTTGCAGCGTTACAGCAGGAAAGAGCCACAGACAGTTTAGGTGTTCGCATATCANTGTTCTTTTTAACCAAATATCTCTCAGAGGGGCGTGGGGAGGGGCTCCTTATTTTCATCTAAAGTAACAGACAGAGAATCAGCACTTTGGAAACAGGGCTGAAACAGAGGGGATTATGGGTAATGCTGCAATGATCTGTTTGGTGTTTGGAGCCAAACACTTCAGAGACATGTTTTGTATATATCTGAGACTCAGGGACCAAGCAGTAAGGCAACAGGACACAGGAGTGGTTTAAATAAACTAGGGTTTTTATTTACCCAAAAGTCCACAAAAAACATCATAAAATAACTAGGCCTATAAAAGAGGACAACAGAAAATACCTCAAAGAAACATAACAGGTGTTAACTCAACAAAACTGACCTCTCACAATGAAAAGCCAAGGAACCTATATAGTGGCTTGGCCAAACCGAGTTGAACCCAAGGGATAATTAATAGTCACATCATACACAAAGGACACTGACAAAACCCAAATCCCCCCTTTGACATGGAAGCAGGTGGTTTGTCCCAATCTGTCCCAATTGGCTCCTTGCAGTATTTATGAGTCCTCAGCGCTCGGCCACACCCTTTGCTGAACCAAGAAGTAACCTCCCCCAATGGACATGGTAACTCAAGAGACAAATAAACTAATTAATACAAACACATACTTGTGTTAGCTGTGCTAAAATATTTGAAGTAATGTCAGATTACAATCAAATAAAGAGTTTACCATTTAAAGCACATGTGTGGTGTTAATTGGCATGTTTTAATGTAGCTGCACCAAAGCAAAACTAGTGAAGATGAGGATGCAGTGTAGTTGGTTTACCCTGTGTGGCTGTGGCCATCAGAGACCTATAATATATTGATGAAAAACAGTATAATAGGGGACCTTTAAACACTGGCTGATTACTATAGGGAACTCTCATGCAGGAAAGAACACATTGCATTAAACCACTCTTTCTGTCTCAGATGGTTGGATGTCGGTGTTGCCCACCTCACCAGTGCCCCCTGTTGGGTCATTTACCTACAAGTCCTGCAGGAAGCTGTTTGGCCCGGCGGCACGCTGCCTGCTCAACACTGGCCGGATCGCAGTCCTGCAGAAAGAGAAGAAACCAAGGAGCAATGTTTGGACTGTCTGATGCAGCTGATCCCAGGTACTTATAGCTGTGGGAATACTTCTTTAACCCTCTGGAGTCCAAGGGTATTTTCTCGATTTTTAGATGTCTCCTTAAATCTCCGTTTAAATGTACTTGTTATAACATGGCACCCCATGAGTAACATACCAAAATATTCAGGAAAATATGTGGTCTTGCTAGAAATGCAAGTCACTCACCTTGGAGCACTGTGTGATGAGATAATTAGCTCTAAAGCTGAACATTTGACATCTGATATTTGGACACTAATTTTCAGGTTAATATTTGTATTTGCAATGATGTCACTATGTTACAGAAGTAAACAAAGGAGTCCAATGAAGGCGTCTCAGGTATGGGGGAGAGAAACTCCCTCTGGAAGGAGCTTTGGGATTTTAGCCTTTGCGACCATTGACATGCACAAAAACCTATTTAACACACAACAGGAAAGGGAAAAGCACAACAGGGCCCCCTTTAATAGGTGTTGTCCTTTTTGATTTGTGTCCTTGTTTGTGCCCAAGCAGAGCTCATCACTGATATTCTGGGAAGTGAGAAGTACAGACTGAGCTTGGAGACCATGCTGGAGTCTGTACAGGATCATCAGATAAACAAGTGAGTCAACAACCAAGCTGTCGGGTAAACATGCGTAAAGACAGCTACACTCGGGAGCTGTAAAGTGTAAACAAGGCAGGAATGTCTCTCAAAGCTGTAATACTCTAAACTGTATAACTACAAGGGTTGTAACCATAGACTGTGTAACTATCTGTTTACACCTTAAAAATATCTGGATTTCAATCTTGCCGATTGTTGGCGTGTCGTTCACCAGAAGTTGTTGGTAATGGTCTAATCTCTTTCATTTTTCTGCATTAAAAGGTTTTCTTTTGCCATTTATACTCATCATACGTGTGTTTAGCTGCCAACACAATAGCATCATATGTTAACCATGTACCTGAAATAGTTAAATACGAAATATATATTTAAAATAAAAGGTAAACTTAAGTCTAAATTTAAGATATGTAATTGTCAATGGTCCTGTTTTACATGAATATTGGTAAAATGTCGCGAGTCTCTTTAAAAAAAGGTTTTGGTTTATAATAGAACGAGGCACAAATAAAGTGCTACTGTACAGCGTATTGGGTACAATCAAAAAATAATACAAAAATAATAATTCAAATCTAGCTTAAAATGACAAGGAAAAAAACATGTTATAAAAAAAGCTATCTTGGTCTTTAAGTATGCACTTTTAAGACTCTCCCTTTTAAGACTCTCGTGCCATCCAACACACAACAACAAATACAATATTGATTATATATAAACAATGCATTCATATCCCCTAATATCCATATAAGCGTCTGTGTTAATAACAGTCTGTGTGATTGTACGCAGGCATCTGATCTACTGCGTGTGCGACCTGCTGCTGGAGTTTCTGATCCCAGAGTCGTGTGACGAGGCCTTTCAGGGGTCTCTGCTGCACAAAGACCCAGAGAGAGACCATCCTCACATATGATCAACACAGTGATGGATACCGTGCTCAACATGTGTCTGAGGGTTATGATGTATTCAGTATGGCCTGCAGTCACTCGTCTGTGAGGGCACATAAAGATGAGAACTGTGTGATTATTTCTGGAACACCCGAAGGGGACACATCAGATAGATACAGTTGGGTGATACACTCAGCATAACCCAATCAATCATTAACTAGTGTTCCTATGTGTCATTGGCTCATGGGATCTATGCAAACAGTGTGCATTTGTATGAATAAATAGGCAATAAATATACCTACAGGCAAAACAGTCTTACTTTTGTTTCACATTTTGAATAGACTCTTTTGATCGTGAGCAGCTTTTGAAAAACACTGACTTCTTCCCAGACATCCGACCTTTGATGAGTCTATAAAAGTGTAAAGATTAACACCTCAATGCATGACTTAAGAAACCACAGTGAACCATGTTCCTTATGTATCTGACTTAAATGGGAGATTTAAAAGAAAAGAGGAAACAAATCCCCAGCATCTTCAGTATAATGTGTTTGTACAGGATGGACGCACACAACATTTCCAAGCCAATATTTCTATGATAACATTTTCAATTATTTAAAATTCAAATGAAAGCATTTTTCCCAAATATACAAAGTCAAATTGTATTCCTCTGTCATGCTGAATTAGGCAGAGCCAAATAAATATGGATATTTTGTGTATTTTTCTAACTTTTGTGAGTGCAATTTTGTTTTTCCTGAAGATGTCTGTCTTGTCATATTGTTCCCTTATCCCAATGGAAAAATATGTATAGTCTTTCCCATCAGAATTAGTTTGGTCTTTTATATCTAGTTTCTATCATAGCAAATTAACACTATATCATCAGTCAGATTTTATTGCTTGCAAAATGTTCAATCTAAATTTTACAATCATAAGCCATTCTTTTACATTTTTGAAATCGAAAAAATAATGGTCTTTTAAATGTATTTGTTAATAAAATTGTTTTTTAAATCTTGAATTTCCTGTGGGCGGGGCTAACCTTTGACAGGTGCGTGTGATATGTACGCTATTCTCACCTGTTAAGGGCCTGCTAGCTGGCAAGGTCTGAAACATTCTGAAATGAAAACAAAGACAGCTAGCTTTTAATATCTAGGAAAGATATCCAGAGCATGGTATTGAAAAAAAAAAACCAGGAGGGGAAAGAAGTACGCCACTCAAAAATGGCTAAATTACACGTCGTCCGTAAAGTAAAGTAATGCAGCAACTTTTCCCATCATGGATACTTCAGTTACCCCCAGTATATTTAACCGATTAAATGGATATAAATTCACGCCTAATGAACAGAGACACTTCTCAGTGCATCATTAAACATCTTGATTTTACAATCACTGGAACAACAATTGCAACAATTCTGGACAAGTAGGACACATGTCTTTTTGTAGATGTTGTTTTTTTATTATGTGAAAATTGTTGTTTTCGTAACAGAATGTGCCGATCAGAAGGACTTCATAAATAGGATCTTAGGAACACTTAGCACAACCCACTTCCTTTCTCATGATTTCATGGGCTGATACTGGCGTGCTCCCACCTCCTGTGTCTTGGGACTTTACTGGCAACCAGAGGAGACAAATCGCTGAAGCTTCGTTGATGGTGGCCCCATACGTCTCAGAGTCAGAGCAGCTGTGATTTCAACACAAAGCTCTCAACGGGACACATCTGTGAAATCTCTGATGGCCACAATCTTATATGTATCAACTACTAGTAATGGATCGATTGACTCATTCAAATAAAGGTCACCTATTATGCAAAATGCAGTCCCCTCTGTGTACAGAGATACGGAAAGTTTCAGGAAAAAAGCTTGTCACCTGAATCTCCTCCTAGAGCACCATTGAGTTCTTTTTAACCAAATCTCTCTCAGAGGGGCGTGGGGAGTGGCTCCTTATTTTCATCTAAAGTAACAGACAGAGAATCAGCACTTTGGAAACAGGGCTGAAACAGAGGGGATTATGGGATGCTACATTTGGTATGTCAGTGTTTCCCCTAGGATGGAGTCATAGCAGCGGTGCTAAGGCATGTGGGCCCAGCATAATGTGAGCGCGGAGCGCGTGGAATTCTTTAGTTGGCCGGGAGCTGCGTCACCGCCGCTGCCCGCCCTAGGCTGTGACCGTTCAAGTGGTTGCGGCTAACTAGGAGCTTCTGGTTTGGCGAGATTGGGTAGGGCGCGGTTTTGGTGGGGTTTATACAGAGTACGGAGACAGGTAATGTTGTATTATGCGTGATTTTCTCCGTTTGCACTGTAGAATTACAAGACAGAGACGTGGAATGTTCAAGGGTCTTTATAGAGATATATGAGGGAGGCGAGGATACTTTTCATTTTCGTTGAGTACAACGTAAATTCCCGACCACCACACCCCTTATAATCTTGCATTTTTTACTAAAAAGTCACCTAGCTGGATTGTTACTTAGCTGATCAGAACATCCGAGATTTACTTACAAGCCATACGATTCACGATCCACAAATTGTCGACATACGAGCAGGGTTTCAGGGTCAAGAAGAGAAAGGGGAAGCGGCGCGAGAGCTCGGTGCGAGAGAGAGAGACTAACTGACAAAAGGGTTATTGATTTTATAGACCGAGGAGGGAGAGAGTTAGGATATGGGTTAAGGTAACATTAAAATTATTCAGTACCTAATATTTATGGTCAGGTGCATAAGGTATTATATTAGATCATGGTCATAACATGTGCTTTATGATCTATTCTATTATCTATTCTTTAAAGGCTGTCATTTTCATATAAACTAGATGTAGGTAAGTTATAAGACAGTTAGTTGACCTAATCCGATTGAGCCTCAATATAACGTCCATAAAAACTGACTTTATGATGATAAATTTTCCAACGTGTTACAAATAATGTTAAAGTAAACTTACAGTTATGTTTACGACGAATTTGAGAGACACCACTTCTCCTAAATTACTTTCTTCGTCGCATAACGTAGTAACTGCAGTTCAACAACCGGATACACACAGTATTAATTCTCATTTCATTATACAAAGTCAAATCCGTATACAAAAATTCTACCTACCTTTCACGTAGTCATATTTAATAATAGTTTCAACAATTTACCTCCAAATATCTTTCATTTCATGAATTTATACTGTGTGTTTGACACAGCACGGTGAGGGGTTTACACGAGGGCAAAAATCTGGAACAACTATTCTAGATACCATACCTAAAGTTTTTGTAAGAGCAACTGCGGACGTTCTGAGAACTAATTGGAAGTCGAACAAACTCTACCAATCTCTCATTAATCTTCGCAGGTCTATGGTCTTCTCTTCACTGTCTGCCAAAATGAGTTGTGGTTCCACTCCAGTCTCTCTCCAGTTAGAGAAGACTTGGTCGCCGTTCAGTACAAAGGAGGGAGACGAAGTAGTGTTCACTTAAAGATTTCCAGGGATAATACGTTTTAGGTGAAGAAGGCATAAATTATTATTTGTACGTACGAGGAGACACCTTTCTCTAAGACTTTACAAGTCCTTTGTTTCTAAGAGGAGTCAAAAACAGGGACTAGGTAAAGGATATTGTTGGACAGACTTTTGACGCGAGTTAGTCTTAAAGCCGGTGAAATACTACAGTATTGTTGCTAAAATATAACCGGGGGAGCACAGTGGTGGGCGTAATCGGGTGAGATCTTTCGGTGGCGCATGGGGTGGGGGTATAGTTGTGAACTGGTAGGAGAGGATGCTCGGGGGTAACGTGCAGAGAAAAATTGCGGTTGTATACGTTGGATGGTCGGTCGCGCGCGCAAGGGGCCCTCCCGGTAGGAATAATAGAAGTAGTATTTCCTTGTGCGGTGGGGGGGGGGGCGGGTTTGTCTGCTTCTTAGTTCGTGAAAACTTTGTCCCGACTTGTCTCTCCTAATACTCCTACGACGTTATCTTAGACAAACGCACAAACCTCGGTTGTGTGGATAGTCTCTGTACAAAGCATTATGATTTGACTCTGGATGATTAGTTATAACTATCTTTTTGTCATTAGTAGTGCCGCCTGGAAGGATTTAGGGATGTAGTATCTAGGGGTGTACCGGGTCGTGGAAAAGACGAAATTGATGTGAGAGTGTCGCCAAGGAAGGAGTAGGTAATGACTCGGGTTTATGACCGTCATTTGCCCTGGTTCGATGTTCACGTATAAGGCCTAACTCTTTATGACAACAGACAAAAGCGCCTTCGAACCAGGTATGACGTCTACAAAGCCGTCAGATTCATTCTACCTATCCCGTCGACTCCGCCCACATGTCTCCAAGGATTTTCCGGAGTGACGTGTAGGACGTAGCTCGTCGTCTCCTCGTGTCTGGCGATTGTCTTTGCGGTCTGACTAGAAGTAGGTTTCCATTCTAACATCTTAGTCGCCAATCCAACGTCCGCGTTTGTGGGTCTTCGTACAAAGACCAGTATAGTCAGTACCCTAAGCGGTCGATAAGGGTGTAAAGACAGCCTAACAGAATAGTGATCTGACTCGTTGCGACCAGGATCTTTGTTTGGCATAATTTACAGTAAGAATAGTTAACGCGGAGAAACTATCAATTTCCAGGGATGATATCGACAAAAAGTAGTTATTGAGTAATGAGATATCTAGAGTCTAATGTGTTGTGTATCGTCAGCAAAGCGGCGATATTATCGGTTTATCACGGCCGCCCGTCAATTTTTATATTATTCACCGACTGGGAGAAAGCGTAAAACTAAACAAACAATATCACCCTAAACATGTCATTAAACACAAATGACATACAAGTTATTTCCACGAAAAACGAATTTTTAGAACTCTGTAACGGGCCTGCTTCTTGGGGGGGATCTCCTACACTGCGAGCGTGGTTGCGGTTTAAGTTTCGTGTACAAGTAATGTTATCGACTTCATCGTAACCTTCGGTAAAACTGCAGATTGAGTGGATACAGTTAGTTCAAAGACGTCACATAAACAGAAACATCTCTAAAAAGTAAATAAGAAATGTAATATGTTTACAGCGGATTTGTTAGAGTGCGATCCCGTCGTTTAACACTGGCCTGGGACCCATGAGTTCCGGTAGTTCTCGGAAAGAACACGACTGTGTATCTTTGTTTAACCGCCCCGCGTNAAGACAGTCGAACCCGGTGCATTCCTCCGTCTGAATGTGGTGCACTTTTGCTAAATGTTTAGACAAATTGCTCGTGTTACCGCCCTTACATGCTAAACACTCTTGGCAAGGAGCATTGTCCACCTCAAGACGGGTAACATTTAACCACACCTTGGAGCGCTTCTCTCCGCCATCTCCTCCGTGTGTTGCTGCATGTAGCAGCTGCGTGTGTGTGTGTAAACTGCCCCGCCCCCTCGCACACAGACGTGAGAGGGATCTGGTCTGGATTGGAAAGGTTGAAAATACACCGAGCATAGACGCATTTGTTTGTCTTTTTGCATGTTAGAAACGAGTTGGCGACACTAAGACTGCGAGATAAGGTTTTTGTAGCTATAATACATGACCTTTCTCTTTCTAAACTCGCTACTCGGAGGGAAGTCGCTGTCATATGCCTTGTAAACGCTCCGATAATGCCTCTCCACGTTACCTTCCTTTGGCAGAGCAACGCTTGCTTTACAAATAAGGCAAATAACCTTTGAATGTGACAATGACATCACAAAAAAATATTCTTCCTCCCATTCTGTGCTGAAGTGATATGTCTCCAGCTTTTTGATCGGTCCCGCACTCATTTTGTTGTTTGTCTCTTTAACTCAATTTGAGTTTTCCCGGCACTTGACTGATTTTGTATCGCTTTGCATTCTGGGTTAACAGACTGGAAAGCGATAGGTCGCTTTTTCTGTCAATCAAGTAAA